TGTACCAGGCTAAATCCCTGGTCTTATACAATGAATTTGGATGGTTTTCTTCCTTTCAGTTCTTTTAAATAGTTGGGAAGAATTAGTGTTAGCTTCTCTTTAAAGTTGGAAAAATTCAGCAATAAAGTAATTTAGTCTTGGGCTTTTCTTTGTTGGGAGACTTTTTATTGCTTTGTTACTTTTTATTGGTCTATTAAGATTTTTTTATATCTATATGACATAACTTCAGTAAGTCCTATGTGTTCAGAAATTTATCCTTTCTTCTTTTTAAAAATTAGTTGGCATATGATTGTTTGTAGTGTTCCTAATGATCTGTATTTCTGTGACACTGGTTATCATGCTTCACATTTAATCTTATCTATGTTCTCTCTTTTGTCTTGCTTGATCAAGCTAAAGGCTTATCAGTTTATCTTTTCAAGAAAACCCACTTCTTTGTATAGTTTTATTCTCAATTTTATTTCTGCTCTGCCATTGTTATTTCCTTCTTTCTAGTATTTTCTGGTTTGATTTGTTCTTGCTTTTCTAGTTCCTTGAATCGCATTAAGTTGTTTATTTGTATTCTTTCTATTTGTTTGATGCAGGCACTTATTTCCAAAGACTTCCTTTTTAGTGACATTTTTGCTGTGTCTCCTAGGTTTTGTGTATTACATTTTCATCTGTTTTAAGAATTTTTAAAAACTTCCCTTTTGATTTCTTTTTTTAGATCATTGGTCATTGAAGAGAATTGTTCAATTTCCATTTGTTTTCACAAATGTTTCTGAGACAGGGCCTCCATAAAGCCCAGGCTGTCCTTGAATTCACTATAGAGCAGAGGATGCCCTTGAACTCCTTATCCTCCCGTTTCCATCTCCCAAGTTCTAGGATTACAGATGTGTACCAACATAACTGGTTCGTATGTTGCTGGGGATAAAACCCAGGGCTTTGTGCATGCTAGGCAAACACTGTTGTTTCTACAACATCTAAAGTTTCCCTTGTAACTGATTTCTAGTCTTACTCCATTTATTCTAAAATATTATTATTTCAGGTTTCTTGAGTTTGTATGAACATGTTTTTACCTTAAGTATGATCTATGCTGGAGAGTGCTCTGTAGACTGATGAGAAGATTGTGTTTTCAGTGTCTGTTAGATGAAATTTTCTATAAATACCTGCTAGATTCATTTGGTCTATAGTGCAGTTTAGCTCTGTTGTTTCATTGTTGGCTTTAAAAAAATCCATTGTTTTATTGCAAATATTTGTTCACATATTTTTTTTCTTCTTTCAATGATAAACAGTGAGCCACTGTATTCTTTAGGGGCCATAAACTCCTTGTCTCAAAGGTGTCTTATTTATGGAAGTCCTAAATAGTGGAGCTGGCCTTTGATTTTGGCAGTGCGATGTGGAAATGCACCAGGACCTTGATTCATTGGAAGCTATCATGAAATGTTTTTACTGTGTTTTTAGATAACTGCCACCTTTTTTTCTAACACTTTTTATTGAATTTTTGTGGTTTTCATAGAACATAATTTGATAGCATTTAGATCTCCTCCCTTCTTTATTGACTTTTTATCTGGTGAAGGTGGGTGGTGAGGTTGCCAGTTATTATTCTATTAGAATCTATTTTTCCTGCTACATCTGTTGTGTTTGCTATAACAGAGTATTCCCACATTGGGTACAGATAGATTTACAGTTTTCATTTTCTCTGATTGAACTGATACATTTACGATTATACAGTGACCTTCTTCTCCTTCTATAGTTTTGGACTTAAATTTTGTTTCATCTGACAGGATTATAGTTATTCCTGCTTTCTTTTGATCTCCATTTATGGGATGTGCCTTTTCCGGTCACTGTACTTCGGTTGATATGTGTCTTTAGCGGAGAAGTGAGATTGTCGTGCAGAGTTTATCCTGGGATGTGCTTTTATTCCTTTCAATCTACAGCTTTAACCGAGGGGCTTTCCATTCATTTTTTTCTGGTCGCGTTGTGTAACCTGTGTTTCTTCTTTCTCCTGCCCGGTGTTGTGGCTTGATGGTTTTCTGTATTGATGGGATTCTCCTCTTCCTCTTTTGGGTATCTGCTCTTCGGTTGAGTTCTATTCCTTCAGATGTTTTAGTGGTAGTAGTTGTGACCTTGTCACCTCAGTGCCAAATTCCCTTAGGTATTTTTGAGGGGCAATTTGTCAGTGATGAATTCTAAGTTTTTTTTCTTATTTTACGAAGACTATTTCTCCTTCATCTCTGAAGGATAGCTTTGCTGGGGATAGCATTCATAGTTGGCAGTTTTTCTTTCAAGACTCTGAGTGTATCATCCCATTTTTTTTTAGTCCTGTGTTGCTTCTGCTTCTGCTGAGAAATCTGTTGTTGGTCTAATGAGAATCTCCTTATATATAACTTGACACATTTCCCTTGTTTTTGGAATTTCTGTGCTGTACTTTTTTGTTTGTTTGTTTTGGCCTTTTTGAGACAGGGTCTCCCAGGCTGGTCTGGGGATTTCACTGTGTAGACCAGGCTGTCCCCTGTCTCATAGAGGTCCATCTGCTTCTGCCTCCCAAGAGCTGGAATTAAAGGCATGTGCCACCATACCTGGCTGTCTTGTACTTTTGACCGGCGATGATATTCCCAGAGAAGTTCTTTCTTGGTAGACTCTATGAGAGTTCCAAGCTTTCTGGACCTAGATATTCACATCTTTCCAAAGATTTTGAAATATTTGAAATTGTTTTGTTGAGTAGGTTTTCTATGCCTTTCCTCTTTTCTTCTCCTTCTGAACACTCATAATGCAAAAAGTTGGCTCAGTTGTGCTTTACATAAGTCTCATAGGCCTTCTTCTTTCTTCATTCTTTTTCATTTCTTTTTTTTTTTCTTTTTTAGACTGGGTTATTTATTTTTTTAGACTGGGTTATTTTTAAACACCTGTCCTCTTCCTTCTCAGAAATTATTTCTTCTGTCTGCTCTATCACCTCTTGGGACTCTCCATTGTACTTTTAGATCATTTGCTGTATTCTTTAGGTCTGAGATTTTTTTCTCTTCGTTCAGTTTATCATTCATGTAATCTATTATTTATGAATTCATTGAGTTGTCTATCTGTAGTCTTTTGTCAATCAGAAATTTTTCTTAAAATCATTGTTTTGAATTCTTTTTCAGGCAGTTCACTAATTTTCTTTTTTTGAGGTCAGGGATCTGTTGCTAAGTTGTTATTGTATTCTTTGGAAGTGTCATGTTACTTTGTTTTTTCATGCATTTAGTAACTCTACATTAGTATTTGTGCATCTGGGAGTGGGGTAATTCCCTCTCCCAACTTTATAGAGTGTTTTTCATAGTAAAAAGCTTCCTACTGATGCTATGTTACAAGGTATTGGTTGGATAGACTGCATTGAGTTGGTTCCAGGTGGATGCTTTAGTGTCAGCCCTGTGTAGAGTCTTCAGCTGCCATTATTGTTGGTAATGTCTGCGAATGTCCTAGTGGCATAGGCTACGGGAGTTGTGAGATTATACCACCAGCTTTGATGCAGCTCTCTTAGGCAAAGCAAGATTGCTTAGCAGCTCTGGGTGCAGTGCTTGTGGGTGGGGGAATGCCTGTCAATTGCCACAGACAATATGGGAACAGTGCCACCCAGTGGGCCTATGTGGATATGGCACAGTATACTCAGTAGTGGGGCAGGGTGTTTGTTTATCAATGTTTGGAGCCTGCATAAGAGCTGAGCTGTGTCATCAAATATAAAGACGTGCGTACACATGATGGAAAGCCAGGGATGACTTTGTGGACTCTGTTGGCCAACTTGCTCAGAACAGCCTGCTTATCTGCCTTTCAGAGCCTCATGGGGTGGCTTTCTGAAACGGACTCCTCAACTAATTCTTAAGGGTTGTAGAAGGATGGCCAAGGGGTTGCTTTTCAGGGGGAGTGGGGAGTTTTGTGAACCAAGCAGTTCATGAATGGAAACCTTTGTAGCCAAACTGCACAGGGTGATTGCTTACCATCTGCTTTCCAGAGCAGTAGGAAATGGGCCCCTGTAGGCCAAGCTGCTCCAGGTAGGCTGCCAGGGTACTTCCTAGGGTTGTGGGAAAGTAAGCAAGGCCATTGGTGTTTCTCACAGACTGGGTTGGCTAAACTGATAAAGGCTGCCTGGCTATTTCATAGAATCCAAGGTGGGCAGGGTCTCAAGAATGTACTATAGAGCAGGAGCAGTGTGGGGAGGTCACAACATGGGCCAGGCTCTTCTTTGCTAGGCAATGTAGGGCTACTGTGGTAAACCAGCAGCTCTCCAAATTTGGCTCAGGAACTGCAAGAGCTGTAGACTTCTCCAAAAGCAAATGCCTTGGGTAACCATGAAATGAGAGAGGTGGCCTTCTGCTTACCTTTTCCCAGCTGATCAAAGTTCCTCTTGGTTTAGGGTGGATCTTGAGAGACGGGAGGCTGATGCTGTTCTCTTTTTCCAAGGTTATTGGATGTTTCCATGTTCTACAGTATCTTCACCACATCCCACTTTACTCCATCACTCTGCACAAACATGCCTGTGAAACAGCTGCTGTTTTTCCTTGAACAGCACATCAGACACCTCTTACCAGCCATTTTCCTGACATCACCTCCTTAGTAAAAGTATTAATTTAATTTAACTCACAGGAAACTATGTATATTGCAACCTCTAGGGTCATCACTAAAAGAGAAAGAGGAAGAAAGGTCAGTAAATATATATACATATAATTTTTATTAGTAAATATTTACTTAATCAAAAATAACTCAGGACAGGCAGAATAAAAGAGGAGAGAACATATAAGGAAATAGAAACAGATAGATGATAGACCTCATTCCAAATGCCCGTGCAGCTATACCAACATCAGGAAAAGCAGCCTTTAGGATGAATAAAAGGATAAAAGAGTCGATTCAACAGTTATAACTAAATTTTTATTCGCTAGATAACACAACTCCAAAACATATTAAAACACAAATTAAACAATTGACATATTATTGTTTTTTGAGGCAAATGGCAATAGATCGTTAGTGGGTTTATGACTGTTGTTTTGACACAGGTTTTCTACAATCCCTCCGGCCCCCCTGGCCAAAACAGACACTTGGCCCAAAGATGTGGGCATCCTTGCCCTGGAGGTCTACTTTCCAGCCCAATATGTGGACCAAACTGACCTGGAGAAGTACAACAACGTGGAAGCAGGGAAGTATACAGTGGGCTTGGGCCAGACCCGAATGGGCTTCTGTTCAGTCCAGGAGGACATCAACTCCCTGTGCCTGACCGTGGTACAACGGCTGATGGAGCGCACCAAGCTGCCGTGGGATGCTGTGGGTCGACTGGAAGTGGGCACCGAGACCATCATTGACAAGTCCAAGGCTGTTAAAACAGTACTCATGGAACTCTTCCAGGATTCCGGCAACACGGACATCGAGGGCATAGATACCACCAATGCCTGCTACGGAGGCACTGCCTCCCTCTTCAATGCTGCCAACTGGATGGAGTCCAGCTACTGGGATGGTATGTGTTTCCAGGGCTTTCTGGAAGTGTGCGGCTTGGGTTAGAGGCTGAATCCTGTTTCTGTTTCCCCCGGGGCTTTTATTCCCCCAGGAAGAAAAGACAATTTGTTCACACAGCTGCCGCTATCACGCAAGAACGACAGTGCCAATGGCTGCTTTGCTAGTGGCTGCTTTGCTAGTATGGCTTCGTACAGTGAGTCAGATAACAACATGCTCACATAGCCATTTAGCGTGTGCAACAACCTGTGATGTGAGCGCCATGCGTGAGGAGAGAAAAGAAGAGGAAATATTTGGTAGCCCACTGTATTAGTCACTCCTCCTGTTGCTGTGACAAAATTCGCAACAAAAGCAACTCAAGGAAAGAAGGATTTATTTTGTCTCACAGTTTAGGGGTACAGTCCGTCGTGGCAAGGAAATCAAGGTGACAGCAGTTTGAGGCAGCTGGTCACCAGGTCACCATCAGCAAGCAGAGAGAGAGAGGAACACTGGTGCTCCGCTCCCTTTCTCCTTTCTGTTCAGTCCAGGGCCCAGCCCGATGGGCTGTTGCTACCCACCGTTAGAGTAGTTAATTCCACCTCAGTTAACCTAATGAATAAAAAATCTCTCACAGACCTGCCCAGAGCTTTGTTTGCATAGTGATTTTAAATCCCATCAAAGTGACGCTTGAGATTAACCACCACATTTAGACAGCAGTGCAGAAGCAAAACTCCAAACCAAAGTGAATACCCCTTACTCTTGTGCTTAGTTCTCTTAAGCATCTCCTGTACCTCTGAGACACAGTTTGCCAATGGCAAAAATCTTACCTGAGGGGCTGGAGAGATGGGGCAGTTAAGAGCACTGGCTGCTCTTGCAGAGAACCCAGCTTTGATTCCCAGCACCCACATGGTGGCTAACATTATCATACAGTTACTGTCTGTAACTCTAGTTCCAGGGGATCCAACGCCCTCTTCTGACCTCCTCGGGCACTGTACACAGGTGCACTTACATAAATGCAGACAATACAGTTATACACATAAAGTAAAAGCAATAAATAAAAAATATTTTTAAAACTTACCCGAGTTTATCTGGTAAGGGGGAAGCACCGGTCAAAATAAACCAAGAAAAGCACAGAACGGACGGGGGCACAGTATTCTCGTCTTTCTCTGGTGCTGGCTCCTAAGATGATTTTTGTCTAGCACATTAACATGACTTTGTGTCTTCCTTACATCTTTCCTCAGAGCTGTATTGGTAGAATAACTCCTGTTCTGAGGGTAAGAAACTCCAAGGTTCTGAGTGCAAGGTGAGAGTGAGGTGCCCTTGCTCACTCAGTAACTGTTACTCTCCTGGAGCCACACAGTTCTTATTTACCTTTCTGCCTTTCAGGGCTGGAAAAAGGACTGAATATAATAGTGCATAGTCTTGTGAAAGACCTTGGCTGACAAGCTACTCTCTATCTACTGAGTTTGAAACTAAGCCTAAAAGCCTTGGAAACCATAGTGAATATTAAGTACAAAATGAAAGTTTTAATGTTGACGTGGAGCTTAGGGGATATAAAATCCAATATTCTTTACCAAGAAAAAAGTCCAGGGCTGGGAAAATATCTCGGTGGGTAAAGTACTTGTCATGCAAGCCTGCAGACCGGAGCTCAGATCCCCAGAGCCCATGTAAAGGCTGAGTGGGTGAGGCGGCCCACCTGTAGTCTCAGCACTGGGGTAGAAACAGGATCCCAGGGGCTAGCTAGCTAAGCAGACTAGTCACAATGGAGAACTCCAGGCTCAGTGAGAGACATTGCCTCAATTTACAAGGTAGAAAGCAATCTAGGAAGACTCAGCATCAACCTTGAGCCTCCACACGCGTACACACACACACACACACACACACACACACACACACACACTTGCACCACCACATGAATACAAATACATATGCATACACATGCATGCACACTACACATACACACACCAAGAAAATAAAGACAATACTTTTTCCTTGGGTGTTAGAATTCTTGGGCGTCAGTGAATTTGAGTTGAGTCCTGACTCTAAAAGCTTTATCTTACCATGTATGCGCAGCTTTGGTCAAGTGACTTAAGTTCTTGGGGCCTCGGTTTCTTCCTTCTGTAAGGAGGGAATAAAACGGGTTGACTCAGTGGGAAAGTACTTGCCTAGGATGTCCTAGGACTTGGTTCAATGCCAAGCACTGCAAAAATAAAAGGGGGGAGGGATTTAATTGTATCTGCTAGACCAGAAAAATTACTTGGTAATGTGCTCTCAATACTGTCCTTTGGATGCATGCTGGAGATCCTCATGTGTTAGATAAAATAATAAAATCATAAGAAGCAGACTTACTTTTGAGGGCAGTAATCTTACCAAGTAAGAGTCGAACAAATAATGGTCAAGACAACAATTTTTTATCAAATGATAATATATCACAGAGTTAGTATAGATCATTTACATTGAATATGGTTACTCAAACTCTTCACAATGAAAGGGGTACCACAGCTCAGGGCCTACGGCTTAGGATCCAATCAGAGTAGGGTTTGAATATTTTGAATTCCACATCTACTAGGTATGTGATCTGGACAAGTTAATCTCTCTGGAGGCAGCGTCTTCATCATGAATGTTGGCATAACTGCCTTTCTGGACTGTTTAAGGTTTATTTGGGGATAAGAGGCATCTAGGTCATATTTCAAATGTTAATTCCTCTCCTTATTCCTTGTCTATTGTTTAGAAGACATTTTAGGATGATGGAGTGCTGTAAGGTAAATGGTACAGACCCGAGTTGTCTCTAGAAATGCCAATGAATGAAGTTTTCAATGAATTTGGAAATAGAATTCTGGCCTGGCACAGTGGTACATGCTGTCACGCCACCTGCTGAGGCATGAAGATCTTGAGTTTGAGGCCAACTGAGCTATGTAGTGAGACCCTGTCTCGAAGAACTAAAAGCAAAAATTTGATGAAGAACTATATAATTCTGGAGGTCAGTGAGATGACTCAATTTGTAAGCCATCAAGCTTGACATCATGAGCTTGGTCCTTAGAAATCAAGGGTGGAAGGAGAGTACCAACTCACTGCAAGTTGTTCTCTGACTTCCACACATGTACTGTGGTACATGCATGCACACATTCACACCCACAACCACCCACCCCTCATGAAATAAACAAAATTTAATTAAAATATAACTTTGAGCAAATGAGGTTTCCAAATATTTTATTCATAAGAGGGTGTCAGTTTCCCCTGGAACTGGAGTTATGGACAGTTGTTAGCCACCATGTGGGTGCTGGGAATTGAACCTGGGCCCTCTGCAAGAGTAGTCAGTGCTCTTAGCCTCTGAGCCAACTCTCCAACCCCTCAAATGAGTTTTTGTAGCTGGGCTGTGAGGACTGAGTTTTGACTTTATATTTCTTTTTTTGTCTTGTTTTAAATATATTATTTATTATTTTTATTTTATGTATGTGAGTGTATTGCCTGCATGTATGTAAGTGCATCCATGTTGTGAAAAGCCTGTGGAGACCAGAAGATGGTATAGGATCCCCTGGAACTGGAGTTACGGACAGTTGTTAGCTGCCATGTGGGTTCTGGGAATCAAACCCAGGTCTTCTGGAAGAACAACAAGTGTTCTTAACCGCTGAGCCATCTCTCCAGTTCCTTGAGTTTATATTTCAAATGCATCATGAGTTTTGCTAGTGTTTATGTGTGCTGTTTCTGTTCTGTTCTTTTTCTAGTGTATAAAATTGTGCCTGGCACACAGTAGCCACCCTCTATTCTAGATTTGGTAGTGAGGCTGTGACTTCTTGTCTGTCTTTGCAGGTCGCTATGCTCTGGTGGTCTGTGGTGACATTGCAGTCTACCCAAATGGTAATGCCCGCCCCACAGGTGGTGCAGGTGCTGTGGCAATGCTGATTGGACCCAAGGCCCCTCTAGCCCTGGAACGAGGTTTGTAGTGAACATTATGAAGTGGCTGGGTGTGGCATAGCCAAATCATAGATCCCAATCACAGACTGTCATACTTACTACTCAGGGCTTGGGGATGGTGTTGCTTGCCTCTGAAGGTCTAGTCTGAGGAGTCCTTAGGAGGAAGGGAAGAAGGGAATCCGAGCTGGTGAGATTTCATCGTGCATTGGAATAATGACGCGTGGAATGAGTGGGTAAAGCTGGTGAAGGACTTTAAGGAACCTAAGTGGAAAATGACAGTGACAGAAGAGAACTGGTTCTAAAGTGAATCTTTGAGAATTTTGGCTTCTAGTCCAGGTTTGGGGAAGCCAACATAGATGTAGAAAAAGAAATCTAAAACTCATTTCTGTAAAGCCAACAGTCTTCGGCTCCTCTTGAACGTGTGAGAGTGTTGAGGCTCTTGACTTAGCCACAGGAAACAGCAAGACCCAGAAGCTCCTTTCACACAGTCCCTCTCATCCTTTCTGCTTGAGATAGCCTGCACGTGGCAGTCCCTGAAGCCCTCTGTGTGCCTTTCCAGGGCTGAGGGGGACCCACATGGAGAATGCATATGACTTCTACAAACCAAACTTGGCCTCAGAGTACCCGCTGGTTGATGGGAAGATGTCCATCCAGTGCTACTTCCGGGCCTTGGATCGATGCTATTCGGCCTATCGCAAGAAAATCCAGAATCAGTGGAAGCAAGGTTTGGTATTGGGAAGGCAGAAAGTTGGCCTCTGCTTACATGCCAAGGGTTTGCCTGTATCTTTCCCTGTATATAGAGCATACTTAGTGGACATCTGTAAGATGAATGAGCAAACCTTAAGTGTATTTGATGGACACAAGTTCTTGGAGGAACTGAGTCCCTTGGCATCATTAAATCTCAGAGAGTGAGTCTCAGTGGATCATCACCACACCACCTCTTGCCTTCATGTCTTCTTTTCCAGCTGGAAACAACCAGCCTTTCACCCTCAATGATGTACAGTATATGATCTTTCATACACCCTTTTGCAAGATGGTCCAGAAATCTCTGGCTCGCCTGGTGTTCAATGACTTCTTGTCATCCAGCAGTGACACACAGAACAATTTATACAAGGAGCTGGAGGCCTTCAAGTAAGTCTTCTTTAAGGGAGAAGCCTAGGCTTGTGGGGGGCAAGCAAGAAGGAGGGCTTCCTCACAACTTGGGTGTGAGCTTCTCTCCTGTAGGAAGCAGAAAGTATGCTGAGCCTCCCTCTGTGTGGGGCTCTCTGTGTATTATCTCTGGGGAACACAGGGTTTACCCGTACCTCTGTGTCAAGCAACCAACTAAAAGAAGCTACAAAGAGTAAAGAATGGGGGAATGGAGTGTGGCCACATTGTTCAGTCAATGAACATTTTCTGAACATCTGCTGGGCACCAGGCATCATGCTAAAATGAATTTGACTCTGTGGTCTGTGCCTTAGAAGTTCTCAGTCCTACACAGACACACGGAAGCCAATGATCGCTGTACAGGAGGGCAGCTGGGGAGGGTCAGGTCCCACTTTCACGTGCCATTGTCGGAGGGTCTTATATGTTGCCCCTATTCTTCCCATCCATTAAATGAATGTGATCCAGCTAGCCTCCTGGGATGTGAAAAAGCAGTAAGAAAGCTGTTTATTGGTGCAATATTCCCAGATATTTAGAAAAGAAGTAACTTCAATTTGATGAGTTTTCCCTGGAAAGAGAACCTTTTTCTACTTGGTTTCTGTTTAAGTCTTGGGCTATCTCACTAACATCTTCCTCAATTAATAACTACTACTACTACTACTACTAACTGTGACACTAAACTATTAAGTTAGCACAAACACTGCTTGTAAGACTTTCTCTGTTAGGGCTGAAGAGATGGCTCAGCAGTTAAGAGTGTTTCTTACACAATGGTGAAGAGTGGAGTTCAGAACCGAGCACTCATGTAACAAACCAGGTATCCTGTAAACCCAGCATCAAGGGGGCTGAGACAGAAGGATCTCGGGGCTTGCTGGCTTCTAGCCTAGCTGAGAAAATGTGAACCCCAGCTTTAAGGCGAGACCCTGACTCAAAGGAATAGGCAGAAAGAGATAGAGGAGGACACCTGACACCCTCTTCTGGCTTCCACATGTTCACACAGGTACATATCCATGTGGGCATGCTCTCACATAGAAACAGATGAACACACACAAATAAATTTTAAAAGTTAAATTATTCTTAAGTATCTTCTCTATCAAAGTATATTTCAAAATAATAGCTTGACATATATATATATATATATATATATATATATATATGTCTTTTTGAGACAGGGTCTCCTTGTAGCCCTAGCTGGCCTGGATGCACTGTAGAGGCCAGAGTGGCCTCGAACTCACAGAGATCTGCTTGCCTCTGCCTCCCAAGTGCTGGGATTAAAGGCGTGTACCACCACGCCAAACATTCTATAAATAAGATAAACACATTCGTGGACAATGAGCAAAGGATATTAACAAGACATTTCTTCAAAGAACAAATGCATATAGTCACATTTTAAAATATGTGTGTTGGGGGGTTGGAGAGACGACTCAGTAATTAAGAGCACTGGCTGCTCTTTGAGAGGACCCAGGATTGATTCCCAGCACCCACGTGGTGGTTAAGAACCATCTGTAACTCCAGTTCCAGGAGATCTGATGCTCTCTGCTGATATCCTTAAACATTGCATGACACAGGTGCACTTACATACATGCAGGCAAAACATACACATAAAATAAAAAATAATAAATAAAATAAAATGTGTATTAATTAGTAAAAATTTAATCGTTATTTTATTTACATTCTTTTAAAAATATTTATATTTTTATGTGTATGAGTTGTTTTGTCTGTATGTATATGAGTGCCCCTGTGCATACAGTACCAACAGAGGCCAGAAAAGGCTATCAGAGCCCCTGTAACTGGAGTTATGGATGGTTGTTAGCCACCATGTGGGTATTGGGAACCAAACCTGGGTCCTCTCAAGAGTAGCCAGTGCTCTTAACCACTGAACCATCTCTTTGGCCAGCCACAGTCTTAAAAAATTTTAATACCCAGAACTGATGTGGTTATCAGAAAATTGTGTGTGTGTGTGTGTGTGTGTGTGTGTGTGTGTGTGTGTAAATCGATACTAAGATTTTAAAGGGAAAATGGGAGGGCATGAGGCAAAAGTCTTAAGAGGCATACTGTTTGTAATATGTTTAAAAGAATGTGTCAGGGCTGGAGAGATGGCTCAGTGCTTAAGAGCATGGACTGCTCTTCCAGAGGACCCGTGCTTGGTTCCCAGCACCCACATGGCAGCTAAAAACCTGATAATTCCAGTTCCAGAGTATCTGACATCCTTTTCTGACCTCTGTGAGAATTGCATGCACATGGTGTACTCACATACATGGAGGCAAGACCCTCATACACATAATATAAAAATAAATAGGGACATCTGGGGACACAAAAATTGACTCAATTAGTCTTAACATATATGACAGAATGTGTGAAATCTGGTGGGAGTGCTCCGGTGGGGGGTACAGATAGGGAAGCAGGTCTAAATATGATCAAGGTGTATTGTATGAAATGCACAAAATTCAATAACATATGTATTGAATAAATTTTAAAATAATAAAATAAAATAATGTTCTGTCATTCACTATAGCATTTTAGCCACATAGAACTGATTAAAGTAGGGCACATTTTGTTGTAGATCATTTTTCAGCTTTTAAAAATGTAGATGATGACCTAGGATCAAAATATTTTGAATTTAAAAAAGCATGCTAAGCCAGGCATTGTGGTACACTGGTGTTGTGTGTGTGTGTGTGTGTGTGTGTGTGTGTGTGTGTGTGTGTGTGTGCATTCATGTGAGAGGATATGGGTGCTTGTGTGCCACAGTGCGCATGTGGAAGTCAGATGGCAACCTCTGCTATTGGTCCTCCTCTCCTGCCTTATTTGAGATAGGGTCTCTCTGTTGTTTTCCCACTGTGAAGGCCAGGCTAGCTGACCAATGAGCTTCCAGGGCTTTCCTGTCTCCACCTCTCATCTCCCTATAGGAGCAAGGGGATTAGATACACTACACAGTCCACTTTTGTGTAGGATCTGAGGATTCAAACTCAGGTCCTTATGCTTGCATGGCAGGTGCCTTTACCCACTGAGCCATCTCCCCGGCTCCAGTGGTATACTCTCGTAGTCCCAGTACTTGAGAGGTGGACCAGAGGTTCAAGGTCATCTTCAACTACATAGCAAGTTTGAGGCCAGCCCAGACTATGTGATACATTATTAAAAGAAACAGGCATTGGGGTGAGGGGGAGAGGATTGGAGAGAAGAGAAGAGAGGAAGATAAAAAGAAAGAAAGCTAAAGTTAAACAGAATTTGTCACATAATTTTCTTTCTTTTTTCTTTTTTTATTTATATTTTTCCCAGTTAATTATTTATTTAATAACCACATACTTAGAAGAAGCATTTCATTACAACAGCATTGACATATTCAATAACAATTTTCTGAGATAAGATGCATCTTCTTCAAAATTGGCTGTAAATTTTTAGGTTTACAGTTGAATTATTAGTTATACAATATTGTACTCAGTATAAACTCTATGAGACATAAAATTAAATGAGGTTTTAACCTTTAAAAGATCTTCATTTCATTATTACAATACAGTTTTATACAGAAAAATTCATTTTCACTGAAATTGACATTAAGATGTTTGCACACGCATTTCTAATCTCTATATATCTGATTATTACTAGTCACAGTCGGTTGCTTTCTGAGCTCCTTGGCATCTGAGCATGGATATAAAGTCATCAGGTAGATTTCAATGGTAATGTTTTTCACATTTACTAATTATTATTTTTTATCTTTCTTTTAGAATTTTTAATAACTACATGATTAGAAGAAGCATTTCACTACAGATTTAACATATTCAGTAACATACTCCAGAGCAAGATTACATCTCTTTCACAAGTGGGTGCAAGTTTCTAGGTTCACAGTTGAGTCAATACAGTTATATGATATTGAACTCAATATAAGCCCTGTAAGACATAAAATCGAATTAGTTTTTTAACC